ATTGAGAGTTGAGCTTTATTTTAGTCTATGACTGAGTGATTAGGGATGCTTATAATACCCTCTATGCTGTGTTTGTCCATTTTATTTTGGATTTTGACTTGAGTTTAGTCTTCGGTTGATGTATTGAGGGATTATTTTGCAGATGAAGGGCTGGCTGGCTGGGAGCTGAAGAGAATTTTCAAAGACTAAAGGTTTGTTGGCTTAGACTTTAATATAGGACACTATTCTTATTATTAATTTTTCTAAGCCCTTTTTATTCGCTATTGTTATGGTAGATTATATTAACTGAGATCGACACTGGATTACCGCTTCGGCCTGCAGTAAGGGAAAAGATGTAAAAGAATGGACAATGGAGACAAAAGGAGGAACTATAAAAGGATCTTCTTATACGTATTGGGTTAGGGAAGCTACGGCGAATGTCGCTCTCGTCCCTATTTCTAAGAAGCTCTGCGGTGAAAGGTTGACTCTTCTCAACCAAAGTCTACTCCCCTTGCCTACGTATGTAATCAGGTAATCTTCTATCTTTTCCTTCCCTTACCTTATATTTAGAGTTGAGCTTGGAATGTATACAGGAATATGCAATTGGATTTCAATAGATATAGGGTACAAAGGAATTCGTTAAATTGGTTGAATGATATGCTTTGATTTCGTTGTTCTCTTAGTGGGTAGATTCCATAACAAATGAAAACCTTACTTGGCTATCTCTTTTTATCCTTATATACCTTCTTTGTATGAACGATTGTGATATCTTATTTTGCATAGTGATTTCACTTTCTGCTATGGCTTTGTCTAGCTAACCTTCTCTTCACTGCAGTTCTAACAGTGGCATCCAATTGTTGTTGTTGGAAAAATGTTAAGCATTGTTGATCTTCTTATGATGCATGTGTCGTCTGCGATGCACTCCAAATGCATAAACATCAGTTGTTGCAGAGAGTTCTGGTGGTGAATTTGGTATCTCTGGAAGCCCATAATCACCGAATCGACCAAGTCCAATAGCAAAGTTGAAAAAGAGAGCAAGCAATAAGGTATTTGCCATCTCCACCTTTTCTTCATATCATAATTATCGTATTGGATAAATGGTTTGGATGTGTATAGCACTTAAATTGACTATGGAGACAAATACTACTGGATGAATATAGGGAGCATGGAAGGAATTACCTGACTTTTGGATCTTACATTTTGTGAGATGAAATACTCAGGATTAGTTTGTTTTATATTTTCTAATGTGGTGTCCTAGGTTAATAAATGCTTAATGGTCAGCGCAGACAACGAAATCTCCAATTTCTTCTTAAAGAAAATGAGCAGTACTTCCCTAAAATTCCTGTGTGCAAAGTGATGATGTCAAATGCCCTTCATTTACAAACTAAAACCTCAAAAGTTGACAAGTTTTGGCACCTGGTAGTAATTTGTTCTCATGAGTCATGATGCATTGTTTCTTAGGGTTGGTTTTCTACTTTTCTTCACCATTCAAGGGTGGAATCCAGCAACCTTTAGTACCGTACTACAAGTGGGTGCTGATATGATTCTGACAATATTTCCTTTAGTTACAGTGTGTTTGTGTTTCTTGCTTTGTGCCTGGTAACTTTGGAGAGGTAATTAGAATCGATGGTCAATGTTGTCCAGCACTAAATTAGAAGACTAGAACCCTTTTTATTTGGAACTAAACTTCAAGTACCAAGAATTTGAGAAAAATAATTAGTACTGGAAAACATGCTTGTTGGAGCAGATTCCACTAATTCACTTCATCCTATCTTAATTATGCTTCCTTGGTCTAGGTTTGGTCCATCGTATGGACATGGTCCAAGTTATAAGGCAAATTTTTTTGATTCAAATGCAAATGATTAATGGTTTTGTGCCCGTAAAAACAATATAATTACATGAATCTGCAATTTATTTCGTTTTCTTTTTCGCACAAGTGATAAGATAAAAATTCATATGCTAATATGGTAGGCTAAGATTGATGCCATTGGTTTTATGGTATTGTGTATATTGACTCACTCCTACTGTCACTCTAGAAAATGGCCAAGTGTAACCACTTCCTAAAGCGTAGTATAGCGGGTTTGAGTTTTAATGTCAACCCGGGTCCTAGATGTGATGACTACTCAGTGAATTCTTATTATCTAGCGGTAAAACTTTAGTGCAGGTTCAAACAAGCAAAACAAGCAAAGCAATTAAACGGTTGTTTTCAAGTCGAGAGAGGTCACCCGGATATGGTTCCCCCTAGACTGCAGTTAAGCCGGATTGCGATTACCAAGTTCAGTTTCTATGATAGTTATACTGCGGAAGGTTCTTACACAGTCTGAAGTCTCGACTAAAGGTCTCCAGACCCTCTCAATCTGAGTCCCCAGCGGGCGACCAACCTCCACCGGAGTAAACGATTGAGGCCCTAACGAATCAAACATTCACTACGGAAGCAAATTCGGTACAAAATAGTGAACTGGCTCCTCGACTAAAGTCGCCAATTCACTACCTTCAATTAAGGGTGCTCTATTAACCTAGGCAGATATTCTCTTTCTAGGCTAAAGCAGAAATAACAGGAATTTGATCAGGATTCAAGTCATTCAATCATTCAAGCCTCAATTGAATATAATCAAATCATAAAATCTGTACTTGGGTTCATACAATCAGACCTAACATACAAATCTAGCGTTCTCCATACCCAGATGAATGGGAAAACTACTCCAAGGAGAGAGAAGCAAAAGCAGATTCACATGCAAAAACCATACTGTGAAGGATGAATTTCTGCTCCTGGTTGTCGATCGACACTTCTCCAAGCTCAAGCCGGGCTTCAATGGTGATGAAGATCAAGCTAGGGCACTTGGGAACTCTGGTTCGTCGCTTTCTCTCTCTAGGAATCGCTCTGTCTCTCTAAAACTCGGAACCCTTGATTTTTAGCCTTCTTTTCCTTTAAGAAGCTCTCTGTCGCGATCCCTGGCCTAAATACCCGGTCGGGTATTTTGGGTGGCGACCAGGTATGTGCAAAACGCACCGTCGGGTGACAGGGGAAAATCCCCGGTCATGGCCAAGAATCCCCGACCGGGGATTTTGGCCTCCTGCCCGGGCCCCTCTCTGTTTCTCAATGATGCCCAAAGCGTCAAATCCCCGGTCATGGCCAAATAATACCCGGCCGGATATTTCTGCTCATGGCCGGGTATTTTGGTCTCCAGCACACTTTAAACCTCACTTGCTCCTTTCGACCCGAATCTCGTTCCTTCGCCTCGATGCCAACGCTAAGCCCTGAAATATGACATAAATGCACAACCTAGCGTGAAATCAGCTTAAAACACGAGAATCTATGTCTCAAACGACTCAAGAATAGGGATAAAAACATGTGTAATTAATGGTCTATCATATATATACATATATACTTTTATTAAAATGCAAAAGTGACCCTTAGCCTTTAATGAATTCTGCATACACTAATTTCTGGGAGATTTCAAGTTCTGCTTATGAGAATTCTTATAAATTGGGTGCATATTTTTTTTCATTGTTAAGTTGTGTAGAGAAGTTGGTAGAACATGCAATGTTATCAACGATCATACTCCAAACAAGGCGATTTGGGATCATTATGTCATTAGAGCGAACATAATCAACACAAAAAGTTCACCTCTCTTAAAGGTAGTTATAGTGCATTGGATATCACATTCTTAAGCTTTTGATCATTGCAACTTGATCAAACTTTTTGCAAATGACCATTGTTCCTGCATCTTAGGCACAATGAGTCGTCTTGCCTCTTTTACTGAATTCTAAACTATAACCTGTAACCTTGATATCCATACTCTCTTGGATACACAAAACAAAAAACAAATTAGAACAAGAACAAAATTTTCAGTATGTTTGCAGGTTAGAAGGAACCATATTAATATGCCAAGTTGTATGAGTGTTATCTAAAAAAGAGTGCAATGTTGAGGGTTCAGGAAGCTGAATCCTTTTATTTGTTTTTTTGGTTTATAAGTTCTGCCGTTCTGGTGATGAATGCAAGATATTAGTGCCTTCTCCTTCAATAGTTCTCTTGGTAAGATCACCATTCTGATTTCTATTTTTCGTGCTGGCATGTAATCTTAAGGCATGTGGTTTAGAGTTTGTCTCTTAAGTAGGGCGCTAGACTTTACCTGTAAATTGTGCTCAAGTTAGCACCATATGCTATCTAACAAAATTGCACTGTCTTTCTTTCTCGCAGTTCTGTTCAAGGATCGGTTGATGCAAGGACTCAAGACAAGCAGAAGAATTGAAAGGCATGAGTAAGGTTGGAACGATTGATGAGTCGGTTCTATGTTTGTCTCTAAAGTGAGGCGTTAGACTTTACGTGTAAAACTGTGCCCAAGTTAGCACCATCTGCTATATAACAAATTTGGACTATTTTTCTTTCTTGCGGTTCTGTTCAAGGATCAGTTGATGCAAGGACTCAAGATAAACAGATTCATGGAAAGACATTAGCACGGTTGGAACGAGTCTAACATTACCTTGCTATTGTATTTTCCATGTTAAGTTTTATTGGTTTCATTCGAGTATCTCTTTTGTTTAACGTGCCAACTACTACATGTTGGTCCATGTGTTGGAATTTTCAGTAGTTACTGTGATCTTTTTTATTGTTTGACCCATAGCTTAAAAGAGTTCTATATTGTTTTGTGGATTCTATAGGAAGAGTACCGTAGTCTATAGTCTTAGTTCTCTTTGTTAAACATTGAATTCTATTGACCAATAAACATTTTGTTAATATCATGATGACATATTAGGATTTGAGCATTTATTTGCTTACTTTCATTGTAAGTAACACATTTGTTTTAGGCAGAGGAGTGCTTTAGCGAGATTGTCCCCATATTTTTCAATTGCTACAATTTCTTTGTGCACTTATTTGCTGACTTTCATTGTAAGTAACACATCTTAACGATTTGAATATTGCTTCTTTCTAATGTAGATTGTTCAAATTTTACCAAGATTTATTTGATGTGTGGAATAATTAGTTTCATCTATAAAGAGGTATTTTCTCGGGTAGTTTCAGTATGGTTACTGCTTTTAAATATATTAAATCCATCTAAATCTCCTGCGGCGTAGCCTAAACGAGTACACGAGGGACTGTAAGAGTGAAAAACAAATAATTCAGGGAGTTCAAGGAAGCTCATAATTCAGGGCTTAAATCACCATGAAAATAACAAATCGAAAGGTGTGAGCCTTCCCCGCCAATTCCATTGCACAAATGGTCGCTCCCGGACACTGCCCAGCACATCCGTCTCTTCCGTTCCCAAATCGTAGTCAGAAGGTTCCTTCTCCAAATTCCTTAGTTCTCCTACCTTCAGTTTTCTGCTATTCCTCTACAATGCTCAATTTTCGCTTCTATTCTTTCTGCAATATCTGTCGTCTCTCGCAGATTCGACGACCAATCCCTGAGAATCCTCGAATCGGTTCTCGCTTGCAAAGATGTGAAGTCGATCATGGAAACGCGATGGAGCTTGAAAGAATCGGAATCTGTCACCGCCATTCGCGAGCTCTCACCGCGCACAGTAGAGCAGAAGCTTTCCATCCTCAATTTTTCGTCCGCGCTTTCGTTCTTATAAGCGACATCGAGGTGCTAATTCTCATCCTCGGAAACAGTTTCCGATTAGTCTCTTATATTTCATCTGAATTTGAATCGACATTTATAGAGTTGTTTGGCGCTCAAGTATGAAGGGTTGCTGCTGCGAGACCTAAAATCTTCCACTTATTATTAGTGGATGCGAGTAGAGTGGCTGAATTTCGCTGAGCACTCACTTGAAAACGGATTTCATGCCATCGCTCGTCCGGTCAATTTCGTCTATTTCTTCTATCTGGAAATTTGTGATATCGAACTGCGAATGGAAGTGATATGCCGTTGCTAGCTTGTTAGTTTGAACCTTCCCTGTTGTCGCCCTAGATTGAGACGCTGTAGAAGAAAATATCAACTCGTATTTGGTTAGGCCTAGCTTCATAAAACTAGATTTCGCAATATTTCTTGGTAACTTAGAAGTACTTGCTCAGTTATTTGTCTTGATAATCAGTCAACTCAATTGAACTTTCAGTTCTGGCAAGAGGTGGGAATGAATATAGGATCATCACGAAAACAAGACATGTTCACGGTAGTTTTATCTTATAGTGACACCATTTTTCCTAGTTGTTTGCAGCCGATTTGGCTGGGGAACTTTCTTCTGTTATTGGTATTCTATCAGTTTCCAGTGTGTTGTGCATATCTTGTTTTGTAGAAGAGCTAATAATTAGAAATCTTACATTGATTGAAAACAGGCTTTTCAATTCCGCTGATCCTAGTAGTACTTTGAATTTTCTTCGTTCATGCATGTGACAAGACCCTAGTATCCCTTAACAATGCTGATCAAGAAGATGTCAAAACTGGTGAACCTTTACAATGTCCAGAAGCGGGTTTATGGTGTTAAGCGGGTCAAGGAGCGTGCTCTGAGGTTTGGAGCTTCAAGCTTTGGTATGTGTTGTCTGCACTGCTAACTGTTTCCTTAACAGTTAAAATGAACAACATCCCAGGTTGGCCTTACCCTACACCCCCTTGCTCCCCTCATCTAAATATTAGTTAAAATGAACTACAGCAAGGCAAATGTATAATGCAGCCAGCTATCCAGGCTGGTGATATGGAATTGTTTTATCTTAAATGCCTTATGATTGTGCTCAAATGTTGTAGTCCATCTTGACTATGATTTTCTTTCTTTGGTAAGGATTGCTGCAGATAACAATTGGTGGTATCATTACTACAATTATATCACTAAGAGGAAGCAGATTGTAACATATTCTACTAGATAGTTTGCTTAAATGCTTTGTGGTTATTCTAAAATTAAAAGTTATGCTTAAATTCATAAATTGACTGTTACTGCTTAATTGAAAATGATGGCGAGGTGATGCTTTGGTTGTGATATGCCCATTTATTAAGAAGAAATTCAAAGCTTGACTTCTATTTTCAAGTTTTAATTGGACATATCAGTTAAAAATAGTCATGAACCAGTGGAATAACTCGCTGCTTTGGGAGTTGATGGCCATGGCAATGTAGAATTTGCTTTCTTGTGTTTATATAATGATATCCCCACTTAAAATTCATCTTTTCTTCAGAAAACAAACTTGTTCATGTAGACAACTCGATCAGGTTCTTTGCTAGGTTTCGAGAAGAACTTCGTGGACCATACCGACATAATGGAGATAAGGGTGCACAACATCTGTGAGGGTTGAGTGTGATGCATATCCAACTTATGTATATATATGCTAATGGATCTACCAGTGCAGCAGAGTAACTGATTTCATACTGCAAGTGGTCACCAGAAATGAAGTTAATTACTCGAGGCTAGCAAATAACAACTACTTGGTGACTGGTGAGTTTTGTTATGCACAGACTAGATGTAGTTTTCCTTGTTTCGGTTCAACAGCTTAAGTAGCCAAGTGCCAGAAAGAAAGGCAGGAAGATTTGAGAATGATTGGACACAAGTATTAGGCAGAAGATAGCTTTAAAATTAGGATATACCACTAGTAGCAAGGCTGCACGTGGTTATACCACAAGTACGTTTTTAGCTGGAAAAATAAATTTAAAGAAAAGGCAAAGCCAAGAGTTGACGTAGAGGAGTTGCAACCTCTGCTGTGCTCTGGTTGGGCATATGAAGAGCATCTAATTGATTCTCAATGTACTGATGATCTGTAGCAATAGGACAAAGTTGTCAGATTGTAGTTTATCATAAGAATTCCTTTGCAGGTTTCAAGTGAGGATTATCTTAAATATTGTCAGGTTCTGGGACAGATATAAATTTCATCTTGTGCAGAGAGGGAAAAACTTAATTAGTTCCACCAGCAGCAGCAACAGATTAGCTTAGCTTAGCTTAGCGCCTTGGCCATGGACCATGGTGTTTGGTGTCGTCATCATCACGTGGTATCTCATTACTGGAACAGGCTAGTAATTTTTTCTTCTCCTTGGCAGGAGATACTGGTAATAATGGAGGGAGGCGACGTTGGAAATCTAAACAACCAACGGTGCCTGCTCAAGCAACTGAATTTCAAGTCTCTGTTTGCTAGCTAGCCAGCCAGCCACTCGAGCCCATCAGCTGAAACAGATAGAGACACAACAAACAGGTTAGTCTTGCCAAACATGTTGCTTCTTATCTTTTCCACCTCTCTTTTGAAGTAAACAAATGAAAGCAGGGGGAAAAATACAAATAAATATGCACACTTCAAGGGAACCAAATCTTCCATATCATCAAGCACATTAAATGCTCTTTGCATTGGGAGCTTGGGTGTGTTTTAATTTCCTCCAAGAGGGAGAGATAGATAGAACTGCCAAGATGTCTGTTTCTCCTCTTTTAACTTAAAACTATTCCCCCAAGAGACAAAACAATAACAAAAACAACACAAAGGTTCTCACCACCTACTAGGGAAAGAATCAAGTTACTGTTTTTTCCCCGTCTTCCTAGATTGTCATAGGGTTCTGAAATTTGGGATTAATAGAAAAAAATTCAACAGGTTGCCCGCCCTGCTGATTACTCTATTTATTTTGTGTTGAGATATGATTCTATGTACCAACACAAGCTTGATTTAGAATAAGAGTTTGCCTATCCTGCTAAGCGGCTAGGTGTAGTCATCGTAATTACACCTCTACGGTTGTTAAATTCGTCACAAGACGGATGTGGTGCAAGAAGGATACATGGAAAGGTGAATGTTTGTAGTGTGCCTTTTTTTTTAGCATCCTGCTGCACAGATGGTTATGGTGCAAGAAGGATACATGGAAAGGTGAATGATTGTAGTGTGTTTTTTGCATCCTGCAAGCACCATTTGTATCCCGTTGCGAATCTTATGACCAAGACGGTTAAACACATGCTTGTATCTAATCTATTTTGCAGCTCAAATTGCTACAATAATTTGGATTGTCCGTTCAATGGAGTAGGCATAAGCACTACTATGCTTACAGTTACTCAGTTACACCTACCTATTACAGTAGTATGATTTTGGATCATATGATTACGATGCATACGAGAAAAATAAATGATCGTCATGCAGTTACATTCCCTGCATACATCAGAATCACGACCATTTCGATTGCGAATCTGAAGATTGACAGGTGGGAGATACCTTATTCCGAAAGTAAAGGAAAATCAAATACAAGAAATGCAATGACAAGTAGAGGAAGAAGTACCCTTCTTGTTTTTTTTCCTGGGAACAGAAGATTAGAAGTTTGGAATCATGTGGAAGGGCATTAAATGCAAAGAAGAGTTAAGGTGGGTTTTAGGGTTCTTTCTACGACTCCTTTATTAACAAATAACAATTCTTTCTTTTTTATTTCTGCTTTTCTTTTCTGGGTTTTCCCCAATGCCAAAGTTTTCAGTCTCTGGAGACGGGTCCTTCTTTTCTAAATAAATGTTTTTATGATTTCTTAAGACCTTGCATCCTGTCGGAGGTCACATTAATTGCATTAGTAGGTTAATAATATAATAGTAATTATTATTATTATAATCATCGCTTCAGTATTAAATTAAAATATATATATAGCCCACCCCATCTTGTATTAGCATTTGAAGTCTTGTACGCGGTTAGGATAAGTGGACCATTTAAACTTGCACTCACCTAGCTATAGCTAGCTAGCTAAGACACAGATCAACATTTTCACTGTAAACAATTATTGTGTGTGGTCATGGACATTGAGAGTAATAACTAATAACCTATTATCTTCCAACCCCACACCCACTTTTCTTCTCTTATTACTCATTGATGTCTTTGCTTCAACTTGACTAAATAAATGTGAATTAGAAACTAAATGTTTCCAAGCTATATGCCTAGGAATGCCATCCAAAGAAAACTCGTTTGTTGGTCACGTGGTGGGTTGCAATCTTGTATCCAATTCATTCACTAAAATATCCAATTATTACAAATCTCATTTTATTGGTGGGTTCATTGATATTTGATAAATTATGATTTAGTGCCTATAATTTTAAAATTTTACTTTTTGATACTAAAATTTTAATTTATTAATGTAAAATATCATTAGACAAATATGTTTTAGTGCCTAAATTTTTTTATTGACATTTTAGTACCTAAACATTTTAAAATATACATATTGGTCCAATGTTTAGATGCGACTTGGATCCATTGAATCCAATTCTCTATCTATTGGATCAAATCTATGGATCCACCAATCCATAGATCCATGGAACTAACAATCAAATCCACCGGTTCATGAATTCAATCCATTTGGCACCTCTACAGAGATTCATGAGATTGAAATGCTAACACTTTAGGCGAATTCTATATCCACAAAGCACGAGAGAGATTCATGATTCATAAATAATAATCACATTCACAGAAGAGATGCGATCTACTCTCCTCTGCAGTGTCACATAATGGGCAGGTATTTACTAAAATCATGTCACATTTTCAATTTATCACGTATAACAATCCTATTAAGAATAATAATCCACCATTTAACCACATGACATTTTTCCCTAATCAAATTCCAAATCTGGTTGACAAAAACCTTTCTCATCAGAGTGCCTTTCCATACCACCGCATTATCATTGCTCATTGTCATTCGATATTGGAACCATACTATGCATTTAAGCAAGCTTCTCCAAATCCATGATCTAGTTGCAGTGAGCGGGATTGTCCAGATAGAGCAGTTCTTCAGTCTGTGCTTGGACATCCAGGCTACCCAGAAGCTTCCACTTCGCATCAGCAGAAGCCAAAGAAGTCTTGCAATGCACGAAATTTCCCATGTCTCAAGGTCCTTAAGACCTAATCCTCCTTCTTTCTTACGTCTCACATCTCTGGTTAGGCAGTCCGAAGTATGATACTTTTCGATCTATTGAGGAAAGGGTCATCCAAAAACCCCAAGTTTGGAAACAACAATGTTTGTGAGCTGCTCTACCCATACATGTTATTTCTTATTTCTTGTTGCTAGTGAACTGCCCATATATGTTATGTCTTGTTTCGTGTTACCTCTATCCTTATGTCGTTTACTATAAAGGTGGGGGTTAAACAAGGTGATAAGCTTATTCACTAGGTGTTTGGAAATCGATGTGCCTAAGTAAACATGAGGGTGGGTTGGGTTTCAGAAGATTTAAGGAGCTTAATCAACCTTTGTTGGCTAAGGTGGCCTGGAGAATTCGGAAGGAACCCAATTCGTTGTTAGCTCGTGTGTATAAAGGGAAGTACTTTCCAAACTCTTTTATCTTGGATGTGAGGAATGGGTCTCTACCCTCCCGGTGATGGCGGGGAGTTCTGTGTGGACGCAACCTGCTGGTTCAAGGGCTTAGATGGCAAATTGGTTCGGGTGAGCAAGTTAAGGTGCTCACAGATAATTGGGTACCGACACTGCACCCATCATCTCCAAGACCTCGACAGGGTATTATTGGAGTCAAGAAGAAGGTGGCATCTTTGATCTGTCCTAACAAGAGAGTCTAGAGGGTGGACTACTATGCCAAATCTTTGAAGAAGATACTACTAACTGAGCTATTTTGGATATTCCTTTACATATTATGCCAGTGCCTGACCGCCTAATTTGGGATGGTGAGGTATCAGGGTATTATGCTTTCAAACCAGATATCATATGGCGGTTGAGTTAAGACGGAGAAACAAATTAAAGGTGAAGGATATAGCTCATGTGTGGGATCACAGTCTTTGGAAAAGTATTTGGGGCACTCCAATACCTCTCAGGTTGTGTTACTTAATATGGAAAGTAGTATGTGGTTCTTACCAACTAGTAAGGCACTGAATTTTCTAAGTGTGGGTGGGTGAGAGGGGGGGGGGGGGGGGGGTTGGAGCAATGTCTAGTCTGCGGAGAGGAGGTGGAGTCTCTTGAACGTCTCTTCTTCCGTTGTCATGTGGCGGTTGAGCTTTGGGAAGGGAGGAAGCTTCATCATCTTACAGATCAGTTCCCGAAAAATAATGTTAGCATATTTTGGCGCAGGTTGCTAGAGTGGCGGGAACTGGATCGCACCGTGTAGATAAGGATTGTGGCCCTTTTCTTGCGTGATTGGCGTGCTCTGAATTGGGTTAATTTTTTTATTTTACGCACTCCATTGCTCCTATTTTGATATATCAGTTTTGCTTCCAGGTTGTGCAGTGGGATGCCATTCCTGACAACTAGCGACATCCTCTTCCAGACCTAGCGGGCCCAGTCTGGAGGCTATGCCACTTGGGGAGCTGGTTATGTTTGTTGATGGGGCCACATTGAGTTATCGCATGGACAAGAGTTAGGTTTAATGGTAAACCAATGGTCTTGGACATGGAGATCCCAGGTTGGACTTACTTAAGTAGCACTCAGTGACCAAATACCTTGTTAGGACGAAAAGCAAAGGCAACTGTAAATATTTGTGTGTTTATTCTTATGATATGCTATTTACATATGTAATAGCATGATAGAAAGACACTGCAAATGATGCTAGAATACAAATGGAGGAGATCTCAATTCCCAAAAATATATACTCAATACCACCAAAAGATATGACATCTACCTTTCATTCTTTTATTAATAACATATGAGTAACAATTAGGTTTTATTAGTTTACTTATAATATTTTTTTTAGGAAATCATTAACTTGTGAACTCTGTATTTCAAAATATCTATAGATTTTTAGGACCATATTGCGGAGCTCCAACTCATTTTTAAGAAATGAGATAGAGAGGTGGACCAAGAGGGCGGAAGGAATAATTCAACTTTAAGCATTAAAGTCTGCGTAATGTTATTGATCGTTGCTTCTGATTTTTAAATGCAAGGTTTCCGGTTCTAAAATTCACGTGGTCGTATAACTTGAAGAAGCAAACACGTATTGTCATGGTTGGTTGTGCCATACATAATTTCATCAAGATTCATGCTCAATGAGATGAATTATTTCATCAAGATGAAGAAAGTTCAAATTCTGGGATTGAAATACCACTCACTGAGTTTAATGTCAGCAATGCTGCAACGCATTGGTGGAACCTAGATTTCTATAAATTCTTACGTTTGAATAATATTTCTGTTTTATGTCGTTTTGGATATTTTTTGGATTTTTGGGATTATTTTGTGAGACTTTTGGGACTTGTTTGGCATTATTATGTTGTTTACCTCAAAACCAACTAGCTTTTTCAAAGTGAAGGTGATCTTCCTCCTAAAGCCGAAGCAGCCGCTTACAAAACCTTGGTTGGTCATTTACAATACCTTTTCAACACAATGTCATATTGCAGTATCCCCTTCGTTCAGTGGATACCCTTTTTAGGAAACTTAGTGCGATGCAGCTTCCCAAACACAATGCTCGCAGAATTCAAAATTCTGCACCTTGTGCCTGCAAAGAAGATCTCTCTTTGACAGAACTTGCCAAGGACCGCCTTCGAATACCTGTCTACCAGCTCCCATTGAGGGGAATTGGAACAGTACTAATCGGTCTTCTAGCCACGAAACCTTGATTTCCCTCTCCCTTCGCCACAACTAGTTGGCCAAGAAGCGGAGTGTGGAAAGGGACGGTGGCAAAGCTAAAAATTGACCGACTAAACTATTTTTCCAGTGTCGAGTCCCCTCCTCGATGACCGATTTGGGGATTCTCAATGACCCGTTGATGTACTCTGGCTCATAAAACTCATGTCTATTGTCTTTCGATGCCCCAAATAAGGACGCCCAAGACCGACCGCAACCAACGACGCCTGGTGTGGCCCTGCTTGCATCGGCCGTCATCGAGAAATTAGAAACCCTAGTTCAGAGGAAAAGAGAGAAACAATTTCAAAATAATATTAGCCATCCCCAATATTTCTTTTAGTCCATTTAATGACCATTTCCGGTAATCTCACCTAATGCAGTGAAAATTTTGATTCTCAAGTATAAGTAATTTTATGGTCTACCCGCATAAAATTTTAATCTTTTTTTTTATTACATTATATTGATCTTACCTTGAGAAATTGTTTGATAAAAAATTGTTGAATTAAAGAATGGCAAAACCAAACATTTGCGTTTTTGTATTTCGCGTATGTGATAATACCGATTTTGAACATTTTTGTAGTTTGTGACATGCATATACCAAAAGCAACATCGATACTAAACACATTCAATTGAATGATTTTGGCTCTTCACGGAAAACAAAAGAGAAGAAACCCACTTCTTATGCAGTATTCATTAATGACACTCTCTGGCTCCCTGGCCTTGTGATTTACATCGTTAGATTCTGGCCCTTAAGATTGATTCATCGTCTAGAGAGAGAGAGAGAGAGATGAGTCGTTGGTTCCATGTGGACGTCGCGAACAAACATTCACGTCGTCGAGCCCATTTCTGTTGGGTCTCTTGATCTTCGGCCTTGGGGTAGGGTTCTCTTCTCTCTTTCTCTCCGCCATAGATTTGTTTTTGTATATCAGTATATGCTGACTGGCGAGGGCGTGGAAACCCTAACCCTAGCGAGGAGCATTTAATGGCCACTTTCTCCCACACACAGACACACACTCCCATCTCAATTAACTAATCGAGGAAAACATTAGCTGACCAATTTAATTAATGTGCTGACAGTAATAATTAAGATAGTTAAATAGCAATGATAGTAAAATTATGTTCTATCATGCTGATTATGACACCATTATCATATGAAGTTTTGATTAGTCAAAGGAGAACGTGGTTCCAGGAAGCATTTCAATTCCTCTAGAATTCACTTCCTTGTTGCCAACCCATCACGAGGCCCCGGCGGTGGTCAACCTCCCCTCTCGTTCTCTCTCTAAATCTACATTCTTTTACTTTTGAATTTTGTCCTGCTCCTTGCCTTGTTGGACTGTAGACTCGGACAATCTCCATGACTCCATCACCCAGTACTTTCAGTCATAGCCAAAGTGAGGTGTGACAAAAATAGCCTTCGCCTCTGCCATCTCCATCTACTGAACGCGTTGGTGGCAAGACAGGAATGCAGAAGCAAAATTTTCTAAAATCAAACTAATTTTTTTGAAGGAGACTCAACCACGAAAAAAGAGTAAAGCAACAATGCTAATAGTTCAGATGGTTGGTTTTGATGTTATACATTGCTTTTGTTCTGGTCTCCAGTATATCAACTGCAATAAAGATGTTTCCTCCAATCATCTTTAGTGCACGATTTAGAAGCAAGTCCTCCTGTTTGTGTCAAACGGAAACATTCATGGGTTCTTAACTCCCCTGTTAGTGTAAAAGCAGCAGCAGCAAAGAAGTTTGACAACACGGCAAGCACCCAGGCAAAATGATACAATGCAGTAGGTGATATGTGTCTCGAAGGTTTTGAGTTACTAAAGTTCATGTTAAAAATAAACATGAATTAAAATGGATTATTCTACTAAGCAAACATCCCCTCTAATCATACAAAGATCAGATATCCAATTCACAAACAATTAAGCCATAAAAAATCATCACACACCCACCACCTTTGATTGCCTAAATTTGGTTTTTCGCAAAGTTATGGACTCTTAAGGGTAACGTTCATGGGTAGTCTGTTTCATAACTCTAGAGAGCACAGTAAGCAGCCACCAGCCAGACACAGTGCGGTAGGCGAATATGATTCTCAATTCACAATTTCTCACCACCGGAAGTAAGAACAGATCATAATAAGCGTAGCGTTCATGGGTGGTCTGTTTCATAGCACTACTACACAATTTGTTAAAAAAGAAAGAAAGGTATTTAGCACCACGACGGAACAACTTTTACAGGCCAACAACGACAACATGCTGCAACCATCAGAAACTGGTATCACAACTCATAGGGAAAATCAAAAGATTTACTCTCAAATTAAGCAGTTACAACATCGAGCAATCATCAAGCACATACACCATCACAAAAGTCACGGAACCTGATTCACAAAGCATTCAAACATTTGAGGACATTTCTGCAAAGGTACAACTTATATGTCTTTTTTCCAAGCCATTTCCATCAACATGCTAATAAATTTGCAATGCATAAAACAAACGGGCCAAAACTTGAATTCAGCATGTTTGACCAACCCATGCCAAATTCTAATTATTCTTTACTTTTAAACTTTCTATTTGAAAATAAAAATAGTGAAAGAAAAGAGACGACTACAATTTGCCATTTGCACATCACTTATTCGGGAATAAAACCATAGAAATTCAAAAGGAACTGAAAATGTTTAGGATCGTTATAATGTTTAAAATAACCAAATAGATCTTTATGTTTAGTTTTTTACTAACAAATACCAAACGATTCCCTATAAAATACACTATAATTTGATCATTATGATATCAAATAATTATAAAATATATATTTGAAATGATAAAAATTGGACTAATTGTGTTGGTCGAGGTTAAACCATTGAATAACTTTAAAATACATAGCATAATATATATTATGCCAGAGAAATTAGCTTATTTTAGAATGACAAACCAATGATGTTCATTTGTTTTACTTGATGGCCAAATCCCATGTAGGTCAGGCCCATTCAACTCTTTTATTTTATGGTTAGTGGTTAGCCCATTAGATACCATTCATTAGTTTATTGTTAAATTTTTTATTTTTAACAATAAAAGGAGTATTATTTTTGCCTTTTCATATATATTTTATCACCACGGAGAAATAAAAGGGCTTAAAGAAAAAAATTGACACTCCTGGACCCGTTTAAATTCGCACGTGTACGGTAAGTTGGCCCGTTCCACAGAGGAAAGAGAAAAAATTGACACTCTCTATTCTACCCTTCCTACAAACGCTCATGGAGCAGGGAATTTGAAATGGGGAAGGGGTTTTTCCTCCCTGCTATTATATGTTTTTAATTTAAAAAGATATAACAAATGTGCTTAGTGTAATTGGTTATTATCCTTGTTTTTCTTTAAAATGGTTATGGTTCGAATCCCAGTACGTGTTTTTTTAATAAATAAAAAAAGTAATTGTGAAGACCAAAATGTCTTTCCTACTTTTACTCTTCTTGCAGGAAATTTGAAATGGAGCCCAACATGTGCACCCAGCCCCACTACTCCGATCAAAACCCGAGTCCAGTGGTCCACACTCCAAACCGCCGAACCTTTCTCTCTCCAAAACTGTTATAAAACCATCCACTGGATCCACCTCTCACTTTCAAGTTTCAACACACACGTTCATCTCTCTCTCTCTCTCTCTCTCTCTCTCTCTCTCTCTCTCTCTCTCTCTCTCTAGTGTCCTAGTCTACAGTTGATATTTGAGGCCTTGCCCTTGTATTATCAATCAAGATAAGGAGATCGATCGAACATGGGAGGCGCATCGCCGTGTGCATCTTGCAAGCTGCTGAGGCGGCGGTGCGCGAAAGACTGCATCTTCGCCCCTTACTTCCCCTCCGACGACCCCCACAAGTTCGCCATCGTCCACAAGGTCTTCGGCGCCAGCAACGTCAGCAAAATGCTCCAGGTAGGTCCCACCTTCATTTTCATTTTCATTTTCCTGGAAAAAAATACCCTCTCCTCTCTCTTTCTCTACACGGGAAACGACATCTATCTATTTACTAAATATAAATAAAATGGTAAAAAAAAACTAAAAACGCACATGCAGGAGATAGCGGTGCAACACAGGGCGGACGCGGTCAGCAGCCTGGTGTACGAGGCCAACGCCAGGTTGCGGGACCCAGTCTACGGCTGCGTCGGGGCCATCTCCTTCCTTCAGAACCAAGTCTCCCAGCTCCAGATGCAGCTCGCCCTCGCCCAGACCGACATCCTCTGCATCCAGATGCACCACGACCCTGCTGCCGCCGTTGCCACCACAGCCAACTTGCAGCTAGACCATCAGCACCAGCAGCAACTTGCTCTTATAAATCACAATCACCATGATTTGGTGGACAGCAAGTCGCTTCTCCTGGCGACCACCAACTTCGGGGCCACGCTTCAGAATCATCCGTACCTCAACTTTGCCACTTCTGGTGTGAACAATGTGATGATCCAGCAGGATCCTCTTAAACGAGAGTCCCTTTGGACTTGATGTCTAATAAATATATTATCAGCATTAATTAATTAACTGGCTAGCTAGATTAATGAAATCTCAATGTCCCTTTTTCTAATTTCATCTTTCTTCTTCTGGCCGGCTGGTGGGGATTCTGTTTCTTCTCTTGTACAAAAAGATCAACTTTTAATTTGCTTTGTCAACGGACGGGTTGGGTAATTAATTGATTACTCTGATAATAATCGTTAGGTTTCGAGGCCAGCAAGGTTGTCAACCCGCGGGTTGATCCGAACTCGGTTGAGCTAGTGGGTCAAGGGTTAATAGGTCATCCGTTTTAGCCCGATTTAGCCCGGAAATATGGAAAGCGTCATTATATTGTACTTATCCTGATAAATTATATCAAATCTCATCTAACATATGAGTTATAACATATAATATTACACCAAAATAACATTTCATACTTAGATTCAACATATAGTGAAAATTCACACACACTTACATAACATTAATATTCAAATGTTCAACTTAGGATTCCAAAGATTGAGTTAGGCGGAAAAAAAAAATCGGAAAATAGACGCATTTCGCAAAACGAAGAAAAAAATGGCACAATTTGACCTCCAACCCGGTACCTTATAGCGGTCGACCCGGCGGGTGCGTGCGGTCGTTTTTTTCACCTGGTCAGGTTCAAAGTGGGTCAACCCGCGGGTGGACAACCTTGGAGGCTAGAGATAATAAGGAAATTATAATAATATCTGGGTTTGCCGCAAAAACTTTTTTTACTTTGTATCTTGATTTTTGCAGAGAACAGTGTGAAATGAAGCAAAGAGAGGTCAAACAATTGCATGTGGGCGCGTGGGGAGGAAATAGAGTACACTATATAGGGTTCTCAGTAACATATATACTAATTTCTGTTACTTCAACAGCAAGTTACGACTGCAGTTTTTTAGGGTTTCTTGTCGATGGACCAGACTAGCTATTTAGCTACTACCCTTTAGTTTACGAGAGGGGGTGGGGGCAGAAGATACACTAACAAAAAAAGGAAATGAAAATCCTAACTATAGTGATGTAGCTGTTAAATTCATTTACGTTTATATGATTAGAAAGAAGAAGAAAAAAAAGTATATATAGCGAGTGAGCTCTAGGATGGAAATCAGGCCCACCATATCTCGTGTTGGGCTGTGCAAAGGTTCGGTCCAGCCCGGATCAGATCAAACTAATGAGAACCACAATCCATTAGTGAAAGACATATTAGACGTATTGACTGAGTATGATACAGGTATAGTATTAGCCTCCCTCGTTCCGCACTCATATTCGCTGATCAAGAGTATTTGTATATATACACATATATATGTATAAGGATCATATTTTAATATCTCAATAATAGTAAGAGATTCAAAATTTAGTGAGCTGAAATGCAATCGATGAATGACAACTCAAATCAAACACTAATTAATTTCCCTCCATTCATTTTTTCGTCAAATATGTGACGAATATGAGTTTAAATATTTGAAAATAAAAATAGAGATGGTTTACAAAATCCCACCACAAATCCACTCATTGTCATTAGTAACCTCTATATTTAATTAATTAGATTATAAAACGTGTTAGGCCAGGCCATGGACAACTGGGTTTTTTCTGGTTTATTTGATTTTGCAATGCCCAGTACGTACATACATAACGTGAAATTATGAGAAAAGGGAGACTGCGGTTTCGTGAAGATGAATCAAAGAAAAAGGCTGGCGATGGCGACGGCCGACCACCATGCATCCATCCCCCTTCCTCCCCTCTGTGATTCTTTCTACTCAGTAATGAACAATGCAACCGGCAACAACTTGTTTAATTCATTTCTAGTCTTTTAAATATTGGATAAGGGATTCTTCCTCATTAACGTCGACTCACGTAGTCACGTGAGAGATATTAGAAAAATGTATGCTAGACAATGAAGGTGAATAAACGAAAAGAAAAATATATATATATATATATTGTTTGTGCCACGTACCCTTCGGACCCACCTCTCCGGACCTTCGACAGATGAAGTTCTCCGGGGCGCCTAGACCCTGCAGAGACAGGCGTCTAAAGGGCTTCGGACTGCCCGTTAGCACTCCGACGCTCAAGTCAATGCCAAATCTAGAGAGATAAGTGCTAAAAGAGATTTTAGTGAGAGAAGCCAACCTGCTTAAATGCTACCTACCGAGCACTATTTATACTCGTCGAGGCCCCGACCAGGCTCCTAGAATTCAGCCCCACGTCAACGCGTCATTAAATGCTCGGTACGGCCCAACGGTCGGGCGCCTCCACGTGGCAGGTCCTGGGCTCCCAGCCCCTGGCGCCTGCAGGGACCACATAGCCAGGTGGCATGCCCTCAGCCTTTTGGTCCCTGATTTGTACGGTCCCCGCTCCATTCTTGTCGTTACGCGCCTGTTGATCCTAGACTGGGCCTTACTTCTACCTTACATCCCCATCTCCTTGCACTGAAGCGGGCTTGGGCCTAAGCAGCCTCCATGGGCCCATGTCCCCCAATGGCCCATCCATGCACATACCCAACAATTGTCCCCCAGTTAGGCACTCATGGCATGCAATGAGCGTCTAACTCTATGTAATTCCGCTGCACCTGGCGTTTAATCGACTTCCGGATTATTCGTGCCCCCTTGATCGATCGACAGGCGCCTGGTCGCCCTGACTATTCAGGTCTCCTCTAGGCGCTCTCTTGAGTGTTTACGTGAACAAACCTTGTCCCCCCGCTCTTGCATCCACTATGGCTTCCTCATCCTTTGTTTTTCTATCCACGATTGAGCATCCACAAGAAGGCGCCTAAACCCTCAGGTCAGGCGCCCAAGCTCCTTACTTTATAAGGTCCATGGCGTGCCCGTCCCTATATGCCCCCCTCTCCGTGCGTCTTGAAATTTCAATTTCAATTTTTTTTTTAAATTCAAAATTCAAACGGACGGTGAGGATTAAATCTGAGGGTCGAGCGCGCATCCCCGTAGTTGCACGTTGGGTTCCTTCCCATATAAATACTTCAATCCGCCGCCTCCCCTCCTCATTCGCATAAAACCCTTCTCTCTCTAACTCTCTCTAACTTTCTCTCTCTACGCCGAGCTGCCTGTGCGCCTGCTTTCTTCTCCTTGATCATTCAAAATGTCAAGCAAACCCGGCTCGGGCGCCACCTCCACTAACCCAGCAAAGGAGAAGCCATCGGAGCCCGACATTTTACAAGAATTGGAGGGACACATCTCTCCTGATCCACTCCGCGAGAAGGGCGCCTGGAATCCCCGCACCAAATCTCAGGCGTCTAGCAAGGGTGATGCCCCCTCGACCGCTACGCCGCTCAGCTCTTAGACCACGTCTACAAATGACACCGCCGACAAGGGTGCGGCGCCTACTTCCAACCGTCCTGTAAACCCTTTAGGTGATGCGGCGGCGCCTTCGAATCCCAAGCCGAGTAAGTTAATTTTTTTTAAGGGCCGGCGCCTGTAGTTTTTAGGGCTTAGAATTGATTCGCCACCCTTTGCGTCGAACCTTATAGGCGCCGCGCCTGGATCTTCGCCTTCATCTGGATCGACCATGTCTCCGCAATCTTCCGACTCGGGCGTCGAGGAGGGTGATTCCATCAAACTAGGGCGATGGGTGGACACCTGGCCGTCAGGACAGGCGCCTGACCAGACATGCCACCTGTCGCTTCGTGAAGCAGGGCCGCGGAAAATTTCGACCGTGAAATCATTGGAGTTAGAAAATCTGATTGTGTCACTACAACTGCCGCGATCCTGGTCATATGCGCCTGCCTCCAGTATGGCCAGAGTTGGAGTAGTCGGACCTCGGTGGCTTGGCCTCTACCGGGAGTATTTTCGCCTTGGACTCCGGTTTCCACTCGACTCTATACTAGAGGGCATACTAACCACTTGCGGATGTTCGATTGGGCGCCTGTCCCCCTCTATTTTCCTTATACATATTCTTTTCAAGTTGAAGTGTCGTCAGCATAACGTCGAGCCTACCTTCAACCTTTTCCATTATTTTTTCAACATGGTCTACTCCGATAATTGCCTATCACTGCAGAGGCGCCTGGGTCTTCCCGGCCACTTCTTAATAGACTGTCCCAAGTTAGAGAGGGAGTGGTTTAGGAGTTTTTTCTTCGTAAAGGCGCATAAGGATTCCTTCTACGAAAGTGGCGCCTCATTCACCAGAGGTTGGGTGATGGGAAATCACGAGGCGTTCAACGTTGATGTGACTCTTTCCACTGCCGAGGAGATTGAAGGCGCCAGGCTCATTTCCATGTACCCGATTAATCTTCGTCCCACATCAGCTCGGGCGCCTGTCCTGCACGAATACTATCGTGATGGTGGGCGCCTATTTATGAAGTTTTTTTTTTTTGCCTTGTATATTGATTATTGACGAGCTCGAACTATATTTGTTTGTGTAGGCGCCAACTTCACCTCCATCAGCACCCTCATGAACTTCACCTACCTCCAAGAAAGGTGGCAAGAAATCTGGTGGAGTTATCAAACCCACCTCCTCGAAGGGTGCTAGCTCGAACAAGACACGTACTGCCCCGACTGAGATGGAGAAGGCCGCCCCCCTACTAGCCAAGGACAGGGGCGCCCAAGCCGAAAGGTGAAATCCCCGAAGAGGATTCAGCCAAACAAAGTGCCGAGCCCCCCAGGCGCCGGAGCCTTTAGGAGATCTGCTAGAGACCTGGGATGCGCCTCACGCCACTAATCCTGTAGATGAATAGGCCTGTGGTTGACCTACTCGCGGGGTCTGATGATCCCGAAGACAACGAGCCTTTATCTATCAGTAAGAAAAGGAAGGTAGAGGGCGCCCAGCATGATTCGGGTAAACGCATGCGCCTGTCAGGCGAGGCCGAGGTGCCGGAGGGCTTGGACAAGTGGCTTCAACCTCCGAAGCACAAGGTGAGCATAGCTTGCTCTGACCGGTCGGCTCTGGAACGAGGCGCCGCCCTCCACATGATTTTGACTGCGGGGGATGTACTCCGGGCACCCCAGGACTTGGAGGACGCCGATCCTTGGGGTGCGGTGGCGAGGATAAACGCCCATGTAAGTTTTTTGCCTTGTACCTTTTTGCATCAACATTTTTTTTTCCTTTTATATACAAAAACTACACACGCCTGACCATTCTCCTTTGCACAATGTTTCTTTGCAGATGATGTTGGTGGCGAAGAAGGAAATAATGGAGCGCGAGGCGCTACGCGCCAAGGCCCACGAGGCAACCACCTCGCTCAGTGTGGCCCAGGATAATCTCGCGACGGCTCAGAGGTGCCAAGAGGAGCTCGTCCAGATGTGCAATGAAGCACAACTTGAGGCCGCGAAGAGCGCCTCTCTTGTGCAAATAAAGATTGATGAAGAGAAGAAACAGCTGCGTGAAGAATATGAGGCGCAGCTCAAAGCTGAGAAGAGGGCGCACGCGGAGACAAAAGTTAGGCTAGAGAAGGAGAAGGTTGAGCTGGAAAATGAGGCAAGCGCCCTGAGGAGCGAGATGGACATTCTAAAGGAAGAGAAGGGCGCCCTGAAGAAGGAGAATAAGCACTTGGGCAGGGAGAATAAGAAGCACTTGAGCGAGAACCAGACGCTTAAGGAGGAGAAGCAGGCGCTCGATACGGAGAAGCAGGCGCTCGAGACGGAGAAGGAAGTGCTCGAGGCCCAATCCGCGGATTTCGCAAAGTCGAGTTCTGGCCAGGCGCTCAAGGCTGATGCTGCTCTGAACAGCATTCTGCTTTTGCGGAGGAAGCTCGCCTCAGATCATCCCGACATCGACTGGGATCTTCAGTCCATGGTGAGTTTCGTCATCTCCCATATAGACGAGCCGCCCGCTGAAGACGAGGCGCCTGCTGATGGCGACGGAAATGATGACGAGGGCAATGGCGATTCTCCTTCCAACTCCGATAATGAGGCGCCTGCGGAGTAATGCCCAAGACTTGTGTCTATTAATAACTCCAATATGTTCTCATCTATTAATAAACAATTCCTTTGCCTTTTCTTGACTTTTGATTATGCATTGTCTAGGCGCCTGCAGGCGACTGTTTATGGACTATTTTCTTGTAATTGGCGCCTGTTTATGTAAACTTTCTTAAATTTTCATAACTTTGTCCGTGCATGTTAGGCGCTTGATAACCTTGTTTGATAACAAATTTGTGCTTTGTTTTTATCATACTTCCGCGTTGTCCATCATTGAGGCGCCTGACGAATAATTTTTGCCTGACTGTCAAACTATTCTATGCCTTATATCATTGAGGCGAACAACAAATAATTCCGCAGGCCCCTAGTCTTGCACATGTGCCGTTAATTTTAAGGGCGCAACTGGTTGGGCACTACGTTGGGCGCAATGTATTGGGCGCAAATGGGTGGGCGCTATATTGGGCGCAATGGGGTACTCTCATTTCATCGATGCCAAATTTCGTATAATAATTAATCCGATTTTGGAAAATGGGCGCAAATCTGGGCGCTTTACATGGAGCGGGCACAACTGGGGAGCTTTACAAAATTACGGGCGCAAAAAGGGCGCTTGTGACAACTCAACATAAACCTACTAACCAAAACAAGCCCTCCCCAGAAACGCCTTGCTACCTGCTTCTACTCCAGATCGGGCGCCTGTGCCTCTGTCACTGACGCAGTACCCGTTGTTTCCTCTACTTCATACCTCCGCAAATTTTGGGCGTTCCATGTCCTCTTCACCCTCTTACCTGACATATTTTCCAGCTTGAACGTATTTGGGCCAACAACTTCCTGAATGCGATATGGTCCCTTCGACTTTGGTGCCAACTTTCCCTCCACGGCATTGGGACGAAAATCTCGTTTCAACACAAGGTTTCCCACAGCAAGGTTGTGCGCCCTCATCTTTTTGTTGTAATACCTCGCAACCTGACTCTTCATTGCTGCCAATCGTAGAGCCACGACCTCTCGGCGCTCATCCAATAGGTCCAACTCGTCGATCCGCTCCTGTGCGTCCATGGACTCGTCTCAGCGAGTCATCCTGAAGGTCGGGACTCGCATTTCCACAGGCAAAACAGCTTCGCTCCCATATGTCAAAGCGAAAGGCGTCTCGCCCGTAGCCACCATGAATGTGGTTCTATGCGCCCACAAGACGCTTGGCAGTTCCTCCACCCATTTGCCCTTGGCCGCCGTCAGCCTAGTGTGCAATCCATGTAGTATGCTTTTGTTGGCCGCCTCAGCTTGCCCATTGGCTTGTGGGTAGGCTATGGAAGAGAACCTCAGAATCACTCCATTCTCATCGCAAAACTCGATAAATTTTTTGCAATCGAATTGCTTTCCGTGGTCAGTAATGATGGACTCCGGGAGTCCAAACCTTGCAAAGATGTTCCTCTTAGTGAACTTCCGAACCTGTGACTCGGTGATCGACGCCAATGGCTCTGCCTCTATCCATTTGGTGAAGTAATCCACTGCCACAATCAAGTACTTGAACTGTCCTGGCGCCTTGGGAAAAGGGCCCAAGAGGTCCATGCCCCACTGGGCGAAGGGCCAGGCGCCTACGTTCCCTTGCATGGGAGCTGCTGGGATGTGTACATCGTTGGCGTGAATTTGACATTGGTGACAAGCTGCCACATGTTTCCCGGCGTCCGCCCGTATTGTTGGCCAATAATATCCCTGCCGGAGGAGAACCTTCTCGAGGCTCTGGGCGCCTGCGTGCATGCCACATGTCTCTTGATGCACTTCCTTGATTGCTTCCAACCCCTCGCCCTCAGTAAGACATCTCAGATAGGCGCCTAAATGCGACCTCTTGTACAACACCCCATCGACAATGGCACAACGGGCTGCCTTTCGTCGCAAGCGCCATACTTCTTTCGGGTCCTCTGGCACTACTCCTTGGGTGAGAAAGAGCCATATTGGAGCCATCCATCCTTCCCTTTCCCCTGCCACGAGGGATGCCATTACCATTTTTTCATGTGGCACCTCTTTCGTTACGATCACCGTCCGGCTTTCCTCAAAGTTCATAGCCGTTGCCAACTTGGACAAGGCATCTGCATGGGCATTCTCCTCCCTTGGAACGTGTGCGAACGTCACGTCCCGGAACCAGGCGCACTTCTTGCGGACGGCATGCACATAAGCCCTAGTGTTTCTTCCTTCACTTCATACACCTCATTCAGCTGATTAACTACCAACGCCGAGTCGGTTTTGACATTTACTTTCTGGGCGCCCATCTCTCTTGCAATGTGAAGTCCCTCAGGGAAGGCTTCGTACTCTGCGGCGTTGTTTGTCTTAAGGGTTGCAAACCGTAACGCTACCTCATGCAAGGCGCCCAGCGGACTGATGAGGACCACACCGGCCCCTGCTCCTGCCCTGCTTGCCGCTCCATCGACATGCACCTGC